CCGTTACTTGAGTCTAAAATCATTCACTAGCTTGACCATCGAATAGCCTTTGGCAGGCACACCCAACCCCAACCCTTGGCATGCTCACAGTTGTTTTACTATTTTGCAGGTTGCTCGGATTTGTGCTCGACCACCGCTCATGGAGGTGCTAAAATTTGGTTCCAACAATTAGCAATATGAAAAATACACATGCAAGATCTCTTTTTATCTTAATATGAAATTCATATTCTCAACACGGTTCCTATCATTTGGTTTTTAACACTAACACATAGACAAATTTCGGATGACGTGAAGCATGTATGGCTTTTGTCTTCATCATACTTGAGCCAACTTGCTTTGATACCTGAACGAAGTTGAGGGTTCACTATAAAATCAATTGACTATATGAAGAGCAGTCTAACTACTTATAAGCACATGTAATGCCTTATTTCCCCAGTATAGAATTCATACTATCAACATCGAGGCTAAAATAAGCTAGCATACGCCACTTAGTACTACGGTCAGGTGTTATTCCTCTTCACTTGTAAGTGAAAGGTCTTAAGTTTGATTCTCGCCAAAGGCGAATTCGAACCATATTGTTGCTAGCCCATCGTGAGGCTAAGCCCACCTCCTCCTCCTTAATATAGATAATATCGTTTGTTAAAAAAAATAAAAAAAATAAAAAATAAAAAGCTAGCATAATATAATTAGAGTGCTATTACTATTACTATTTGTAACGTAATAAGTTTCGGTAATGGAGTGGAGATTTAAGGTTAGTTCTATTACTATTTGTAACGTAAGTTCAACTTTTTACCAGCTAGGTTTTGAAAATGATGATTATATGTTAATGCAATAGGGAAATGGGAACTTTAACGAAAAACTCCTGGTACTGTTCATTTTAACGAAAAACTACATTTTTACACTAACAAGTCAATCCTGCTACTATTCACTTTACCATTTATTTTGTCTTTATCGTTAAAACTCAAAGTTTTCAAGCCCTTTTCATTAGTTTTCCTTAGGGAAATGGATAATCTGAACATCAACTAGAAATTCCATTGGAAACCTGCAAGGCAGGGACGAAGCTAGAGATTTGTATGAGCGGAGGCATCCTTAAACAATAAAGTCACAATTAAAAATCTCAAGAATTTATTGAACAAAACACTAATATATTAATCCATAAAGTTTTTCATACAACATATTACAATATTCCTCGAATCGTTTTCATGTTTTGAAAGTGTTGCATAACAATACCATTACCAATACCATTAAACATCTCTTTATATAAAAATAATCATGTTATCATTCATCCATTGATCTCTAAATTAGAAAGCTAAATTCTAAATTGAAATACCAAAAACAAATTAATGAATTAAAGTCGTATAAAATACCTTGTGAAGTAAAATTCTTGTGTTGAATATTGATAATTGATTACTTGAACTCCAACTGTCTATAACACTCCAAATTCAATTGAGTTTTGGTTGAATGAAAGGGGAGGAAAAATCTGGGGAAGTTGAGGACTGGAATTGCTTTGCTGTACTTGGATGAGTTTTGTGTGAATTAACGACCTAGGCTTAGAAAAACGGGGAGGCACAATTAAATTAATTGTTAATTAAATTGTCATCAAGTAGGGCATTTGGGATCCAAAAACGGTAGACTAGTTTAGTTGCCTACCAATTTTTTTAATTGTAGTTTAATAAGAGTTGGTTGTCGAGAATTGGAACGCAACCATACATTTTTTTTAAATGAGTGGGGGCATCCGCCTCCTAGGCCTACATTAGCTATGTCCTTGCTGCAAGGACGAACACTATATGTTAGGGTTTAAGGACTTCCCACCTACATGGGGTTGGAGTTTTCTAGTTTGATCTCTCTTTTTTTTTCAAATTTACATTACAACGATGTAATGGAAAAGAAACTTCATTGATATCACATGATGTGATAAGTGATGATTAATAATTTTATATCATTAATGTGCACATTGTATACCACTTCATGTGAAACTTTAAGTGTAGAACAATCACTTACATTACTCTAAACATGAATTTACAAACACAACCAGCCATATTAACTTGCAAAAAGCATTTCTTCGAAATGAAATAAATATCAAACAAAAATGTTGAGCGATTGAACTGATCATTGTGATTGGCTTTACAGTCCAAGCTGTTGTCGATTCTGTCTGTGTGTAAGAATCCTTATACACAGACAAGTTGATGCCCTGCATTGGGGAAAAATTGTCCTTAGCTATTGCCGATTGTATACAATCATGATTTTATCTAGGAAAAATTAGTATCCGGTCCCTAGTTACTACTGTTCATTGACTGAAACTTTATTAGTTTTCAGATTTTGATCTAAGTCCCTAGCATTAATGTAATAATGAATTTACATGTCAGTTACATAATTTTTTAAAATAAAAATTAATAATTGATTTAAAATTTTAATACTCACACCTTTATTAAACTCCTAACTAATTTTAGAATAAGTTTGTACCCATTAGTTTTTTTTTTTTTTAAGAAATGTTTTCAATTTTTTAATCTTACATGTACCCATTTATGTAATTTTTTCAAATTTTTAATCTTAAAATGTACTCATTCTTTTTTTTTTTTTTTGAAAACTTATATGGGGTACATTTCTTTTTCTTTGATTTGAGAATGTATCCATGTCGAGTTTAATCGAAGAAATTTACTAATGTTACCAAACCTAATATTTATTGATTTTTTTGTGTGGTTTTGAAGAATGTACCCATGTTTTGGTACAATAATTTTTTTGGTTAATTTTGATGAATGTACTCATGTTTATACACACACACACACACACACACACAATAGTATAATTTATAATCTAATATTTTTAATCCCACAAATGATGGGTTTTTTATTTAAAATCTCATTAATATAAACAACTATAAATTTCAATTTTAATTTAAAAAATATAGTAACATACATAGAAATAAATTATCACATTAATTTCAGGGACTTCGATCAAAAATTGAAAACCAACAAGGTTTCGGTAAAAAAATATTCAAAGGTAGGGACCGCATCCAAGTCTCCCTTTTATCTATATGTAAGAGTTTTTATACAGAGACAAGTTGATGCCCTAAGATGGAGAAAATTTGTCCTAAATATTACCGATTGTATATGATCATACTTTCAAACAAACAAAACATGTTATAATTATCACCAGTTGTGTATAATCATGTATAGACACATTAAAATGGAGCGGTGCCTCGTGAGCAAATGCAAACCAACGCTTGACCTGACAATGTGTGAACAAGAAGCACCACATGTTGTTAGAAAGTCTTAGCAGTTAAACGTGCAGTATCGCAGTGGACCTCCGAGCGAACCTCATTTGACTTCAAAGTCCTCTTATTCAGGCAGGAATCGAAGACCTTTCTGTTTGTCGCAATGTCGACCCAAGTCAATGATCTGATCAGACACAGAGAAAAGAAGAAAATATAACAAACACACTTGCAAGCGGCAAAGTGGTAGTTGTAAGTTGTAACCGTAGTTCTCTCCTTATACGTAGGCGATGAATTGTCCTGAATGATAGGACAGTCATCTTCAACCCAAAACCCAATTTTGCTTCGTTTTGTATGCATCGAGTTTGTCAAAAGCAACGCAGCTCCCAAGAGGGTTGATTATAAGGTTTTAAGTATTTATATTTTGGATGTGAGAGGAGGTTAGTGAATCGACAGAGAATTGATATGTTCAACCAAAAGGAATTGTCTAAGTTCACATTTCTGCACTACATGATTAATAGCAAGGACAAGGGGAGAAAGTAGTCCCTTTCGCGTAGGTTGTTGACTCAAAATATCGACCCGTCGTCGAGGTTATTGACTTGAAATCCCGACGCGTCGTGCTTGAGCTGTAGCCCAAGTGACATTATGGTGGAATATGGTTTAACTGAGTTCAAATCCTGTTAAGCAAGGCACAACCAAATTGATTTAGAGCAGTGTATTTTCTCCCTTTCTTGTAATTTAGATAGATGTGGTGTAGAATATCACCTAACAAAAGCACTTGTGGGTGCATTTGGTACGCAGACGGGACGGGACGGGACGGGACGGGACGGGACGGAACGAAGGTGTAATTTTTGAAAAAGACATGGGGTATATTTGTCTTAAAATGGTAAAACATTGTGTTCCACAGACGTGGAACAAACCCGTTCCAGGGGGGGCAGGTGGGACGCAAAAACATCCAAAATCTGTCCCGTGGAACAGCCCGTTCCACTCATTTTTGGCGCACCAAACGCGGGACGGAACGCCTCGTCCCGTTCCGTCCCGTCCCGTCCCACGTACCAAACGCACCCTGTGGGAATTTTCAATTCGAATGGTTAAGCAAAGAGCATCTCCACCGGTTGCCCAATTAGATCGAATTTCCCTTGGTCCCAAAAAAGTGGTCCACCAATGCAAAAAAATGGAGGACGGATGGCTGCCCTTGCAATTGAAGCACGAGCTTTCGCCCCTTCGATCGGTGGACATCAACAAAGGGGCCCACCCACGTGGTACAGCACACAACCAACCAAACGACTCTTTTTCCATGCAAGCCCATCCGTTTTCCAACAGTTCATTTGGATCATTGGATTTCCAACTGTAAGAAAAATTGCACCTTTTTTTTCAGCTTCCACATGGCGAGATCAAGGGCATCCAACAGTAATAATTTTGAAAATCAACGGCCAAGATTACTCTAACGATATAAATAAAAATAATAACTAAAAAAATACCAAAAAAATTATGATAAAATACCTACTCTTTTTTTCTTTCTATAAATACCCAACCATATTCTTCATTCTCCGCGCAACTCATTATTTATTCTTCATTCTCCACACAACTCAATATTGAGTCTATGTGAATAGTTATCTCCTTTGCCAGCCCTCCTTCCCAAACGAATGGACTTGCACAAATACAATAACCATTTAGAGTGAATAGTAAGGGCAATTTCATTGCTCTTGCCCTTGCGCTCCTAAAACGGGTAAAGTTGCTCTAAATAATGCTCAGACATCTTGTTATTTAGATCCCAAATATTTGAATGTTGGTTAAGAACTTGTAAAAGACAAACGGCATCCATTTATCATGTTTTAAGTTACAAATTTGTTTCCAGACTCTTTAACAAATGTTCCTAAATCCAAAAATGCATACAAGCGCCTAACGAAAACTAACATTTTAGCTACAACACACCTGCAAGCCGATGTCACCTCATCAATTCTTCGGTCTTGTAACATCTGGTAACATTGAACACGACAATGTTCCTCGTTGAAAAATGTTACTAGAATTGTATCTATCATATATTTTTGGGGGGGGGGAGTGGAGTGAAATACAATATAAAGCACTAGTGATATGAGATTACTTTCACCCCAATTGTCCAGCAGCTGAACATCCATCATTTTGAAGAACCTAATAATTCACATCTTTCGTGACAAAACCCATCGATCAATAAGGTCACAACAGATTGTACAACTTAAAATATCAGGTACGGCTACTCACCCAATTCGCAATGCCACCAAGAATCGCTTAGCAATTTTAAATGCGGGACTTCATATTAGTAGCCATTGCTAAAATGCAAAGTTGCATTAATATATTCTTCGTGAATTCTGCAAAATAATTCCAGTAACATGAATCAGCATAACAAGATATATTAAATGAAATCCATCAACTAGTTTGTTTTCTTAAAACAATAATTGGGAAGGAAAAAAATCTCCATATTTAAGTTCTGCAGTATGTCATATCACTTCACGCGGTGTTTCAATATTAAGAGGTTGAAAAAAGATGTTGAAGAAAGGAGAATCAAAAATAAAAACAAAGGGAGGACTGCAAACGGACAAAATGGGAGTGTGAAAGTCGCTATTCGTTTACGAAATCCACATCCCCCAACATGTGTTGCAGTGGCTCTATGCTCCAAATCTAATCTGTGTATCTATCAGTACCCTCAAACCAGAAAAATATCTGCAGATCCAATTATGAGATGCGAGCCCAATTGTTTGTGAGACTCATGCCTTTCTACATCCACTTATAATAACACCTGAGCCATTTCATTAGTTACTCTTTCACATTCCTCGCTTTTAGAACTAAAAGGTTCCAAATAATTGGTGGAAATTTTGCACTCAATCCAAACAAACTAAAGATATCAAATGTATTTCCCATAAGGCATTATATGTCAATCTTTTCTTTTCTAAAGCTAAACGTTAGAAGAATCATGCAAACGCCCCGTGTGCAATGTGATGGGAATTTACAGTAGGAAGAGGAGAAATTGGGTGTCTTGGTCCTCTTGGATGACAGTGTACTAGTTAAAATATATTATCAATTCGGTAAGAACTATACTATTTTTAGTCTACAAACCTACTATTTATTAGGTAAAGTAATAGGGGCATAGTTAACATTTCATATACGATGATTGACCAAAAGAGTGCTCCTAATGATATTATATTTATGTATACGTAAGTATAAAAAGTTTGAGCAAAATGCTCAATCAACAAACATATAATGTTCATAGTTCGTACAATCAATCCCAAAACCAAAAGTGCCAATAACAGAACCAAAAATCTAACAGCAGAGAGAGAGGAAAAACCCCAAAGGATGTTCAGCTGATAAAACGTGAATTATTTTTTAACACTTGGCCACTAAGGGTTGTATTAGAAACACCTTAAAAAATACTGATGAAACCAAATAATGAAATAACTGGAATACATCAAAGTCCCCTAATTTTGACAGCCTTCCATCACGAAAATCAAAACATGCAGGGGACAAACGAAAGAAATGGGAGAAAGATTTGGTTCAATAAATCAACCATTTAAGCCAGTATGCCCACTGTTCTAAAAATCTCTGCCTAGCACCACCTAGGCGCTAGGCGGCTAATCACCGCCCCGATTAATTCCTAGGCATTTGAAAATTAAGAAAGGGCGCCTAGACCAGGCACCCGCCTAGACTGCCTAGGCACCCCACCTAGCCCTTCTAGACCCACCTAGGCACCTCCTGCCTAGGTTGCAACTCACTTAGACAAAATAGATAACTTTCAATTTGCATTTAATTTTTTTCAATAAATTGTAAGAGACTTGTTGAATACTTAAATGAGCACACACTATATGCTTGTTCCCCATGTTTTCATTATGTTCCAATACTTCATAAAACATATGTCATTCTATTTTGTAGTTTATGATGAAATTATATATATTTTAAGTATAAACAGACACTTATTTACACAAAATATAATGGATTTACTTAAATCCGCCTAGTCCGCCAAGGCGCCCGCCTAGACCCCGCCTACCCGCCTACCCGCTAGGCCCCAGCCCGCCGCCTGACTAGCACCTAGCGTCTTTTAGAACCTTGAGTACGCTCAGTAGCAAACTTAGATGCAAGAATCTAAACTAAAATAATAGAAAAGGAAAACAAAAACTTAAAGCATACCTTTTGAGTGAAGGTCCTTAAGGATATGAACTTGCTAGAGCAGCATTATTGTGGCCGGTAAAGGCCAAGCAACGGTTTCTCTCTCTCTTGAACTCTCTTTCTTGCAGCTTCCCTTGCTTTAAGTGCAGCTGATTCTTCAGCGGATATAGCCCTTGGCTTCTCATCTCTCTTTCTCTTTCCAACAGCAACGGAGGAAGCAGCAGCTTTAACAGATCTCTTTGGATTTAAAGAAGATGAAACCACTGGCCCAGGTGGAGGCCCATTTTGAGTTGTATCACCACCTTTGTTTTCTATAGCTGATCCTGCACCTGAGGCTGACACAGGCTTTTTCAAAATGGTTTCTTTATATCCAGCATTGGATAAGAACTGCGGGTTCGCATATGCCTCTTCCTGTGTTACCCACTTGCCTGTTGTATTTTTTGATCGAAATATATCAACTACAACACATATTCTAAAAGGATGGTAAGCTATCACAATAATTAGAATATATGTGCAATGTGTCAATACCTATAGAATCAGAATAGTAGAAGCCCGAATTTGGATCATAGTAAAAACCATTACTTTGATTGTAATAATAACCAGATGTGCTGTTATACTGCCATTCTGTCACCAATCAAAGAGAATCAGTTTTAATAAATAAGTTGAAATAAGAAATATTTATCAACAAAGCTTAAGGCATGCTTCTTCAAATAGCAATAAAGGGCCAATTTAGGAACAAATAATATTCATGAACCACCCTAAAGAGATGATTCTAAGGGAATTTAAATTTTGAAAGACTCTGTTCTGTTCACCAATTAATGGCCAACTATCAAACCGGACAACTATGGCCAGAATCAACCTAAAACCACAATTCACCTAACATGTCTAGCTCATTCTAGGCAATTTGCATAACTTACTAGCTTAATGTCTTCCTCTCCTGAGTCCTGGCCACCTGGAGTGGGCTATAGACTAGCCCAAATACCTAGGCTATCGCCTCAAGCAATCTAGGCATTAGATTTTTTTTTTTTTTTTTTTTTTTTTTTTTAAAAAAAAAAACCTAAACCCAAAACGACATCATTTTGGACAGGGTTTTTATAAAATTCATGCTAATTTTATGTTTCTAACTCGGTTTCTATTACTTTATCGTGACTTTTTTTATGTGAATTAGAGAAATAATAATAATAATAATAACAACAATCAGATTTTGATTGCTTGGCATGCTTGTAAAACGTTGATATATATGTGAAGTATTATAATAATTTTATATGTAAGTATTATATCATATATATATGTAAAGTATTATAAAGTATATATTATATATAGTCAAATTTTACTTGCTTGGCATGCAATCTACGAAGTATTATATTATATATACATGTAAAGCATTATAATAATTTTAGATACCGTGAGGCTAAAGCCTCACGCCTCAGGGCTATCGCCAAAGCCAAGCTATCCATGAAGGGCCTTCACTTCACCTTCGCCTATTAAAACATTGATATATATATTTATAATATCACTAGCATCTAATGAACCATGCCGTCCTCTTACCTTTTTTTTTCTCCCTTGTAGAATGCTTTCTTTGGTAAAATGCCTCAGAGTAGTTTCTCAAGCTTAGTTTGTTGAGAATAGACTTTATACATGCAGCCTGATTGTTGTATTGTCTTAACATAAAAAAGTAGTTGAGCTTTAAGCAAGGTGTTCAGTTATCCAACAGTCCTATTCCAACATACATGGTACTCTTGGACAATAAATCATATGGCCAAGGTGAATAAACTAGATTTTGACTCCATACAAGTACAAAGAGAGGAAAAATGATGCATCGGGATTGTCAAAAATAATGATGGAGGTTCTCCAAAGTGATTGAGGTGTGATATACCAGCTTTATTCCATAGCTTGCAAGAATAGTGCAGCCATAACATTGCAACAACCCTGGAATACAAATTTACAGTACTTACTCTCTAGATCATCATCATCAACTTCGAATGCACGAGAATCTCTAGCCTCCTTTAAGTTTGCCACATCCTTTTGATAGCTGCGCTTAGCTTTCTGTAAACGTTCAGGACCCAAAAAAAAATTCAGCATAAAGAAAATTTTCTCAGGTCAGTGTCTCATAGAAAGAAGACTTTATCTTCCACTAAAGCTATTTTTTTTTTATTACAATAAATCATAAATCATAAGACAAAGGAGTTGGGGAAATAGTTGTGCTCAACTTTTTTCACAAATTCTGGTTTGCCATTCGAAAGTCATTTGAAAACATAATGAGTTTTGAATTGATAACAGCTCCTTGCGGACTGCTAACAAAATGGCAGTATCGATGAGAACAAGAATAGGAATGAAGCTTAGTATTAAAGGGGAGATGCACTCCCATCAAAGAATTGCCATTATAAAATGAACCTCCATTATCCGAATAGATGTATTCAAACATATATATATATTAACTACTTCTAACTTCGAAATAACCTTTTGATACTCACTGCTTCGATTTGCAGAAGGGCGCGCTCTGCTTCCTTTTCTTCCTTCTCCTTTGCAGCTTTTTCTTTTCGCATATCAGCAAGCTTCTTTGCAACATTATCCTTGTGTCGTTGACCAAGCTCATGATTTCTGACGCTGGAAGGATTGTGCGAGATGTAGATTTTGCAGAAGTCACACCACTTGTTACCCTGGCTAACCCAATACTGCAAACAGAGAAAGGGAAAAATTAACAAGGTAAGCTAATATACGAAAATGAACTGTATCAACAATTTTAAAGAGAAGAAGATTCCTCTCCAAGTAATACAGCTTCGTTTCAGTATAATTCAGAAACTACATTACCAGTATATCACTATGCTTTGAAATATCGGAACCATTGGGTTTTGCTTATTATTCATGATTATTGCTCTTCAATCCCCATATCGATACACTCGTATAAATTATCCAATTAAGCACTCAAAATTAGGAATAACATCAAGAAAAGCTGCTTTTTTTACAAGTGCTTTTCAAAATTAAAAGTAAAAAAGAGTTGAAGGCGAAGGAGGATACCTCAGTCATGGCGATGAATTTGGGGCTGCGAAGCTGGTGGGAGAAAACCCCTAAATCAGACCGTTAGGGCAAATATCGGAGGTTGCAGGTACTGAAATTTGTCAATCGAAATAATCAAATCAAAATCTCTCCTTTTTCTTTCTCTTTCTCGCGGAGGGGAGACAGGAATTCGGTTTGCCCATTAACTCCGACGACTATTTGAGTCGGTCTTGGTTTTGATAGGCCCACTCGACCAATTTTGGGCCTTATATAGAATTTAGTTTAACAAGCCCGCCCCTTCTATTAATTTCTGACAATAATTGGGAGGGGAGAGGCCTTCACGTAAGGAATGAGAATTAGTTAGATTAGATCAACTCTATCCCTCTTGTTTAATCCAATTTTTTGTTACGAGAGTATTTGCATAAAATTCTAGAGTCGTTCGTTACTAGGGAATACGATAAAACATCTATTACGGGAAATTACATCTAGGACTAAAATAGTAGAATGTTGTAACGTCCGTTACAGGAGAATACGTCACCTCCCAGTCAATCTTAAGGCATTGAGAGAAACCTCGCGCCACGAGGCGTGTCTTATATCACACTATCTAATTCTTTTCATTACGCTTCCTTACGAAAACCCACTTGTACCCATCTAGCTTCACATGCCTCCAGTACTACAAAAGAGGCTATCGCTAGCGGTGTAAAAACCTACAAGAAACCCCAATTAATGACAAAAATCCGACATAAAATCATGCAATGTTGGATAGGGAAACCGACGCCATTGCTAGCATCACGAAAAGGGTATTGACGTCGGTTAGTCCCCTTAATCCGCCACCAAGAAGCAAAGTAATATAAAATAAAATAAAACAACAGCGTCGCTTAAAAGCGACATTGAACCTTACGTTGGTTAAAAGTGACATTAAATTCTGACATGATGGCAGTTCTAACCGACATCAACTAACAACTAAACTATTAAAATAAAACCTATTGTCGGCCCTAACTGATGCCATAAGCCAATAATAAAAAATAAATAAAAGTATATCTCAGTTCCTCCGTCGACGACCTCCACTACTGTTCCTGGCCACTACTCAGTTCCTCCTCCTCCATTTCATGCTGCCTGCCGATCAAGAGGGATCATAGACAACATCAGTTCCTCCTTTTCTATAGTCACTTCTGCAACCATGTCTCTAAAGATGCTGCCTTCTGAAAGAGTGTCCTGTCAAGATGGATCATAGACAACATTAAGTTAAAGCAGCTTGGGCTTTGGTACTTAACAAGATTAAATAGGGAAAGTTCTCAAAGTGTGACGAAAATCATGTTACCTCTGGTCCATTACAAGATTTATGGTTGGAGGTTCGTTTCTCAACTCACCAGGTCTTATAATCTTGTGGTTTATACCATACTTCCTGATATAATTCTCTGCCTGAAGCTTTGCTATTAAGGTGAGCCCAAAAACATTGAGGAAAGCCGGGTTGAGATTCGGCCCCATTACTGCTTAATTGACCAATTTTGTGAGAGATGAAGGGAGAATGAGAAGGGGACAAGAACCAGAGCGACACGGTGAAGGGATGGTTGTCGCCATTGCAGTGAGGCTGAGGAGGAAAGCTCATGAAGGTTGTGTTGGGGTTGATTTGTTGGGTTGCTGATGCTATTGCAGGAGGAGAGCGGGAGGTTTTTGAGTGGGCATCATGAGGGGAAGAAATTTGTGGTGGTGGTGAGGTGAGGAGTAATGGATGGAGAGAGGCGATGAGTGGAAAAAAGACAGAAAAATGAGAGAAAAGTTTGTTAGAGAGGTATAAAGTAATAGGAAATGAAGGATTTCACTTAAATTTTGAGAATCGCGGGAGTACAATGAAATTTCAAAGAATGGGGGGAAATATCCCACCCAATATTCCCACCCAAAATTTTGTCATGGAGCGTATTTAAAAAAAAATAAAAACACCAACTTGTCGGGTAGAAGCGACACCATTTTCTTTTTAACCGACACAGAGTTTTAATATTAAACAATTTAAAATCTATCTCGGCTACAACTGACATTGGGTTTTAATATTTAAAAAAAATTAAATTCTATGTCGAATTCAACTGACACAAAGTTTTAATATTAAAAACTTTAAAACCTACGTCGGATTATGGGTTTTAATATTTAAAATTTTCGAAATCTTTGTCAGCTACAACGACACCGATTTTAAATTTGGGTTTAATATTTAAAAACTTTAAAGTCTATGTCGGTTACAGCCGACACCTGGTTTTAATATTTAAAAATTTAAAAATTTATGTCGGTTACAACCGACACCATCTTGAAAAATATTTAAAAACAGTCATTAAAGTGTCTATGTCGGTTATAACTGACAATAATTTCGACACAATAGTAACAAGGTGTCGGAAATATCTTATCCGCCAATATGTTATGTTAAACCGACACCAACCACGGACACAATAAGCCTGTTTTGTAGTAGTGCTCAAGCACCTTACGTTTTGCAAGTGAATCAAGTTCAACTTGGATTGTTTGTTGCTAGTTTAATCAATCAGTTCTACATTGACATTCATCATGAAACACAATTCAATGTTATTGTTCAGTATGATATTAATGGCTACTATGTATGCAAATGATCATCGACTATCATCTCATTTCGATTGGAAACCTCATCCAAGTTAACACAATGGACTGAAATCTCACGATTCTTGGGAGGCAAATTTGTCTCATCAAGGATGCTTCAATAACCTAGAATAACCTCGTACGTTGGAATGGTTAAGTTAGCAATGGTAGGATTAAAACTTATTTCACTAGGTTGTGTCGTGGGCTTCTTCTTCTAGGGTTGTGAATCTTTTGAACCAACAATCCTGCCACACTTCAAGGTAAGAGCACATAATTAGCTAGCCACCAATGTATTGGGCTGCGCAATGGGTGTTGTCGACAGTCCTATAAGAGCGATATTTCGACGTACGTGCGGTACATCTATCCTTAATGGCGAGTTTGCATCTTGTATATTTGAGTTTGTCACTTTCACTAAGCATCAAGCATGTTTTGAACAACATTTTGTAAATCTAAAATACATCGCACTTTAATTTCAGGTTATGAATCCATGACAATTTGCGACATTTTTCATTATCATTAACATTCTTATCTACTCCTAACGACAGGAAAATTGTCTCATCGAAGTAATAATCCACAAAATATGTGGTAAACAGATCGCCTATCAAGGGCAATAAGTAGCAAATAATGGATGGCGAATCATAACCGACAAATTCTTATTCTTCTCTAAAGACCTATTTTTGTACATAGTGAAAGAGTTATTGGCACATAAACTGCGTTATTGGCGTATGTGCGAGGCTCGTACCTAGTAACCAATTGTAACAGTGAAAAAGATTGGGTAACGGTGGGCCTTATACAAATCAACATAGCTGTGTATAGATTTGCATAGCCCTATGCAGAAACCGAAAGCTTAGTGTGCATAGCCAAGGTTCAATCAATTGAAGACACTTAATGATGCTTTTGTTAAGCCTTTTTAGTTGTGAACATGGGATACTTCAACTTCGATCCCCGCTGACATACAATAATCGTCGAAAGTTTGCAACATAAACTCTTAAGCATTATCTAGTCAAATCGACTTAGTCTGGTAATCAGGGTAGTGAGCCCGGAGCTTAATAATTTGTGCTAGAATTTTCGCAAATGCAGCATTGTGTGTGGATAGTAGGCAAACATGTGACCAACATGTCGATGCATCAACCAACACCATAAAATATATAAATGGTTCTCATGTTGATTGAAAAGGTCCACAAATATCCCCTTAAATATGTTGAAGAAACTTCAGTGATTATGGGTAATATTTGCATTAGAGGGTCGAGTTAATAATTACCCAAAGAGCTTGGCATGGAATTTCCAGGTATGACTTTCAAACTTCGAGTAAGAGGATGCACGTGTGATGTTTTGAGGATACAACTCATTATATATCTCCCTAGATATCTCAAATGGTCGTGCCATGGTAGGCATCCCCAGCTCATACGACTGTATTGTACAGTCCATTCGGGAGACGTTCCATCTTCTCATGAATATGCTTCTAACCATATTTATAGGAAGCGGTACAAATATATTCCATGCCATTCTTTTCAATGGTTCAGTATAATACTTATTCTTTCAAATATCCTTAAAGCTCAACAACATTCTTCCGGAACGGATTGAGTAAAGGTCCTCTTTAATGGTTAATTCAGTACCATTGGACAACATTATACAAGCATTGTCATACCCCTAAACATTTGGATAGGACTGAAAGGGTTGTCAAAAGTGAATTTTTAGGATGAAGTTAGTAAAATAATGATTGTTGCGCAAGATAGTGTGAGTAGTTACACTATCTACCAGACAACTAACTTCCCCACAAGACATTCCCAGAAATAAATTAATTGAATTGGTCACATCTATGAGGATAAATTCGAATTCCATTTCTTCAATTAAGTAATTAAGAAATAATATCCATGAAGTAACTATCCAAAAATTTAAACCAAACACTAAACAAATAATCCAAAATAAGGAAAATTGTTCAAAACTTAAACCAAAAGAAATAGGGCCACTTTGAAAATTAGAAATTTTCATGCTGGTATGTTCAGGATTATCTAATTAAGCAAAGTTTGTCTCAATCTTTTGACGACTTGAATGATACTCAAAAATGGCTTTAGGAGAAGCTCGGCAAACATGAGATCAATGTTCTTTGTAACCACATAGGTAACACAAGATTAGTAAAAGCTTGATGGTTTGACCTTTACCTTTATTCTTGAAGTTGGAAGCCTTGGGACCTAGGAAATCACACTTCGGGTTCAGATTTCCTTTCTTGGGTGGGCTTTTGCTTGCTGATAACTCGTATATTTCATAGATTTATACAATGACGAAGTTATAAAAGGTTAGGGAGATAGGCCCCTCCCCTCTCCGAAAATCAAGCCTAGGAGCGATGGTTCGCCCATCTGGTGTCGTAAAAAAACCTGCAAGTTCAAGGTGAAACTGCAGCACTGTGCAACAGATGTTCTCTGTTTTGAAAAATCTAGGATGAAGACATAATAAACGGCGACGTCTTCCTTAAGGGTACAATCTTTTTTACATATTTGACCTTTACCAAATTACTTGCTCACACTAAAAGCGAGTACCTATTGACTTGTAGACGCATGTACATTTTAATCCGACATTAAGTACTGCTTTCTAGGCCACTAAAAATAAAA